CCACAGTTTTCAGTTTACTGCTCTAGAGGCACATATATATATTTTAAAATGACATATTGGTTACAAAATGGAGTCCCTCACGTTCAGCTTCCAAGGTAGAATGAACTGTGGGCAGCAAAGAGCGCTTGCTGTGTCTCTGGGACTGTACTTGACTGTGGACATATGCATGAGACAGTGTGTACACATGTGGTCAGAGACATGCTTGGGGGGCAACTAGGTGCATAACAGTAGTGGATGGCAGCTGACTGGTCCTATTCCCTGAGGAACTTCGGCCTCCCATCCTTGGAGTGTAGGGAGGGCAGACCCAGGATGCCCCTATAAGCTGGGCCTGACAGACCCTACTGGTGCTGGCCCACCTCCCAGGACGCCTGGAACATTCTCAAGTTTGTTATCGTCTTTATCTTGCTCCTGGGGTTCTTCGTTCAAAGACTTAGAGTCGACTCTATTACCTACACCCTCAGGTGAGCTGGGAGCTCCAGAGGAAAGGGGGGTTGCCTGTCTGAAACTGGGAGTATGCCTTTCTGGGGAGTTGGTGGGGCAATTGGGAAGATGGTTCTGGGAAGGGCTGAGAGGTACCCCTGAGAGGCTCTGTCACAGGCTGCTTCGTCTAATACATGTGTGCATGGCGGTGGAGCCCCTGGCCCAGATCATCAATGTCATCGTGAAGTCTGTGCCTGATGTGGCCAATATCCTCACCCTCATCCTCTTCTTCATGCTGGTCAGTACCCTCTTTCACTTTCAGTCTCTCCCCTTCCCTAAGCAGGGACTCTAGGTTCATTGGTGGTGGGGTGTCTGGAGAAGGGAAAAGATCTGACTTTGTATTCAAGACCTGAATTCCCTCCATTCCCTTGGCAGTGTTCATTTGCATGGCATTGTCCTTTCCCCAAGCCCCTTGGTTGAATTCAGGGCAGGACTTCGGTCTCCTTGCAGGTGTTCGCCGTGTTTGGGGTCACACTCTTTGGTGCATTCATCCCCATACATTTCCAGAACATGCAGGTTGCCCTGTACACCCTCTTCGTCTGCATCACCCAGGATGGTTGGGTGGACATCTACAATGACTTCCAGTGAGTGCCAGTAGAGCTTCCTGCCCCTGTCCCAGCCTACAAGAGCTGGAGCTCCTACAGGGCAGGGAGATTAACTAGGGAGGGAGAGGGTTCTCAACAGGAAAGAAGATTCTTGACATTGGGATAAAGATAGGGTGCATGTAGGAGATAGGCCTCCAGGTTTGTGGTCAGCTTTGGGAAGCTCTGCCCCTCTTGAAGGTCCACTCTGTTCGTGGAGACTTGGACAGGGGAGCAGATCTGTGGGTGAGAGTTGGGCTTCAAGGTAGGCTTCCAGCCCACACTGGAGCCCATTACACTGCCTACATTCTTAGAATTCATTCCTTTCTGATTTTTAAACCTACTCCCCAAGGTCATTTTGACTATTAAGTCTAACTATACTTTTCAGTTCACTGTAGGGAGTGAACTCCCTGGCTGATTTCTTTTCATCTCCTTCATTTGAAGGAAGAAGCCCAGTTGGTGAAGGGCTTTTCCTGTAATTATCCATTATGCTATAAGTAGTGGGGAAAAATGTTCGCAGAATGCAGAATAAAGATGGGCCCAGCTTTGAGTGCTTTACCCCACTAGCTGTGTAACCTTAGGCAAGTTGCCTCATCTCTCTTCTGAGTCTCAGTTTTCCTCATCTGTAGGCTAGGCTGGGGATTACAGAATTTACTCTGTCCTGGATTGCTGTGAAGATCAAGAGATAAAAACTATTTAAAAGGTGTTGCCCCCAGTCAGGGGCTAACTTGACAGCAGCTAACCACAAAGAAAGAAAAGTTTCTTAGCAAAGAGCTTAGCATTTTTTACTTTGTTTTTAATATATTTCAAGGGAAGGGTAAAACGTCTAGAAAAAAAAATTTTAATTTTTTAAATTTTATTTTACTGTTTTGTGTGTGTGTGTACCGTCAAATTGGATCTGACTGGTACAGGAGGAGACTGCCCCTCTTTCTCCAGCAGAGCATCTGGTGGATTTGAACCACATGCCTCTGGGATTGCAGTGCAGCTTCTTGCCACTAGGTGACCAGAGCTCCCTTAGGAAAAAATCTTAATTAGTGATTACACAACAAGATATTAACAGTGGTTAACAACTCAAGAGTGGATGAGTTGGGTTTATTAATTTATTTTGCCTATATTCTTTTCTCCAGATCTTTCTATTAAAAGCCTGTATTACTTTTACAAGAAAAACATACAGTGCTAAGAGATGAAATTGGATCATGCTGCTGTACAAACCCCTACCTTGCAGGGATGGCTTGAGAACTGGTCCAGTGCCTGGCAGCACAGCAGGTGCTCAGTGATGAGTAGCTGCTGTGACAATTAGAAGTAGCATATTAGGTCTGCATGTGAGCATTGAGGCGGGTAGAAGCCCGAATAGGTCTTGGGATCCTGTCCCCATTTCACAGATGAGGAAACTGAGACTCAAGGGGCCAGGGAGGTGATGGGGCCCCTGCCTGCCATCTCCAGGATGAAGGAGAGGAATTATGCAATGGAGATTGGGGGTGCCATCTACTTCGTCATCTTCATCACCCTTGGTGCCTTCATTGGCATCAACCTGTTGGTCGTCGTGGTGACTACCAACCTAGAACTGATGATGAAGGGAGGACAACGAAGGGAGCAGCATCAAATATTCTTCAGTGAGGTGAGTGGGATGGGAGGGAGAAGAGGGAGTGTTTTATGTTTGCCAAACTGAATGTGTATGTATATGTGTGTTTACTCAATTAAGAACAAATGTGTATGAGCAGGGGCCCTGAGGCAGCCTCCTTATACCAACTGGGGTTTGACGATGAAGATTTCCTAGATATTATGTTTCTATGGCAACCACAAATCAAACAGCTAGGTCAGTTAACCAGTCTAAACTCTTCTTCTGTAAAAGGGGATAATGATAGTATTTACTTCATAGAGCTACTGTGATTATATGCATTAATACACAGTTCTCGATCCATAGTAAGCCCTTAATAAATGCCAGCTTCATTTCATTTGTATTCATTCAGGGGTACAGCTTCCATAAGTTTGGGGGTGGAGTGCTTCTCAAAGTGACTTTTGAGATCTGTGACTTGAGAATACATAGAACTTTAGAAGTTTGCTGGGCAGGAGGCATCAGAGGTGAGTTTAGGGACTATGATTTTGAAAGGGAGTGAGAAATTCCTTTTCAAGTGGGTGAAGAGTTTGTGTATTACAGTTCAACATCCACAGAATAAGTGGGGCTTTAGAAATCGAGGTGTTAAGAGATTTGACCCTTCCTGAAGCCAAGCAGGAATGGACTGGGGGGAGGAAGTGTCACTTCATTTCACCCCCACCTCCCCAGACAGGCAAAAAGGAGGAAGAGGATGGCGACCTGCCACTGGTGCACTACAGAGTTGTCAGGTTGGAGAAGTCTGGTCAACATCAGGAACCGCTGGTTGGGGGGCCTCTGTCGAACCTCTCTGAGGCCACGTGCGACAACTTTTGTTTGGTGCTGGAGGCAATACAGGAAAACTTGCTACAGTACAAGAAGATACGAGATGAGCTCAACACGTAGGGGCAGTACTGGGGGGTACCCTGGAGTCCATTGAGCCTCAGAACCTTCTAGCCTCACACCCTTACCATTCCACAATGAGGACCCCGGGGCCCAGAGAAGTTGAGTGACTTGTCCAGGGTTAAGTTGGAATCCAGATCTACATATTCCACTTACCTCACACAAAAGCGCAGCCTGGCCATGAATTCTCTCAGAGCTATGAGGAGGGTGACCCAGGGAAGAAGTAGGATTGCCGCCCCTCACCCCCAGCCGCTTCAGCATGCATCCACTGCCTCATCCCTAGGATTGTGAATGAAGTTCGCGCCATCCGCTTCAACCAGGAGCAGGAAGAGGAGACACTGCACAGGACCATGTCCAAGAGCCTGCCGAACGAGAGCGGGACCTCAGAGGACAATGTACACCACCAGCAAGACTTAATCACTGCGCTCGTAAACATGGAAAAGGTGCTTCTTGCTGTTCCTAGCCAATCAAACTTGGCCCCGCCCCACCCAGTCCAGCCTCATTGGTCAAGGTTTCTGATGCAAAAACTTTGAAGCAGGCTTACTGCCCAATCCCTTCAGTCCTATTATTTCCTTCTTCAGAGGCCCTGCCCCCATGGGCAATTGGAGCAAACTATTTAAAGCCTGGTCTACTAGCTAAAGGATTGGTAGTTTGAACCCCCGCCCCAGAAGAGACTTGGAAGAAAGGCTTGTCCATCTGCTCCCCATAGGTCATAGTCTTGAGAATCTCGTGGAGCAGTCCGAATTGATTGGAGGGCAGCTAAGCAGCAGTGCCCTCAAACCCCGTCTTTCTCAGTGCGACCAATTCCATTCCTGCTTAGTGGTATATACTTAGTGCAGCTGGGCTCTGGTTGGATACCTAAAAACATTCCCCTTCTCCGAATTCTTCTAAGATAAGTCACACCCACCTTATTTCATTTCTCTCCATCTATCTGGGCTAGAATGACCTGGAACTCTATGAATGTCTGCAACCTGAGGTCCCAAGCTCAGAGAAACAGTACTAAGAAGACTAGAGTTAGACAGATGAAGGACTTCCCTTGGAGGTCTTGGTAGGGCAGCTTTTGAAGCTAAAGTGGAGGAGTGAAAGAGAGTCTGCTATGTTAAAGTAGTAGGATGATTGACAAGACGACCTCTTGCATTGCAGGTTCAGGAATCCAGCACAAATATACTCCATAAGAAAAAGGCCAGCCACTGAAGGGGCAGGACAGAAGCCAAGGTGTCTGCACACACATACCCAGCTGCTGCATTTTCATGCATCCCTAGCATGGCTTGGCATAGCCTGACTTGAGCCCATCTCCCCTCTTGGATGGACTTATGCCTGAGCAGAGAGGCCTGCGGCTGTGAAGGTGGCAGCATTTCCACCTGGGCAGAGAGGGCCTGTGCCTGGAAGCTGCAGGTCCAGAGGAGCCACGATGAAGAAAGGAGCTGAATGTAAGCAGGAGTCAGACAGCAAGGATGAGCATTGAAGGTAGATTGCTCATCAGGGAAGATTGCCAGGACTCAGCCTAAGCATAGGCATTCCTGGCCTCTTGCTGTAGCCCAGAGCTGGGCAGTGACAAGCAGGCCCAAGTACCTACAGGAGAAAGGCGAGGTCAGTAGGGCCAGACATCTCTGTATTGTCAATAAAGTTTTGTGTTGAGATCAATGCGCCTGACTGGGGCTATCTCTTTGCTCCTTTTAGACAACCTTGCTGTAGGGCTGCTGGACAAGGCAAAGCCTTCCCCTTGAAGGTTTGTCTGATGGGAAAGTTACAACTTGCCTTCATGAGCTTCAAGTCAAAAGGGGGAGTCCACATCTCTGAATATTTCTGACTTGAAATAATCTCTGCCTTTGATGTCCTAAATTTGGTGGGAGAAAGATTGGTCCTTGTAGTTGGGAGCCCTTATTTGACAAAGAAGACACAGCCATACCCCTTTTCTTTCTGTTTAAAAGTGGAAACTAGTCCTAATTTAATAGGATTACTATTGATCAAGTCACAAGCAACACCATCAAAGGCAAAGTGAGAAACTTGACAGGCTTTGTAGAGGAGAGTTGTGCTGATAGAATACTGATGCTTGCTGGGGAAAAGCAAGAGAATTTTGTGGATAGGGGTCCAGGTGGATTAAGTCTGATAGGAAACTTGAGACCTGTGAAGTCTACATGGAAACTTCATGCCAAGGACACTGAAAGCCACAGCAGGTTGCATGGCAATAAGAAGAGTTGGCTTGAAGGACAGGAGACCTGAATTTGGTCCCTGAGCAAAGTGATTATGTCTCATTTTCTCCATCTGTTCAATGGAGAGTAGATAAGATTCGCCTTTCATTCTGAAATAAAATAGCCAGCTTTTAATTTAGTAGGTAGGGCCAATGGGGTTTAACCATGTTAAAACCCAGGTCCCCTGGTGTTAGGTGAGGGAAAGCTGAAAGGCCCAGAATTCTTACCCAGCTGTTCAGCACAGGCTGACAATTAGGGACCTTAGGGAAATTTAACTCTTGAAATTGGAATACCCAGGTGCCTACTGATTACAGCTGATGGGAAACTCTGCCCTCCATCCCCTCCTATCAGTACTGATTCTACCCCCAAAAGTCCCCCTGAGGCCTGCTGGGAAGAAACCTGTGTACCTGGGAAATGAGAGCTGGGTAGCTCAGTAGTCAGGAGAGAGGTGGCACCAGGAGCTGGCAGTGCCTCAGGGTCTTGGAACATTTGTTCCACTGGTCTGACCCATGACTCCCTCCCAACATCCTCAAGGATCATCAATCAGCATTGCCATGAGCAGGCAGGGGCTTTTGCTGCTGCTGCTGCTGCTGCTGCTGCTGCTGCAGCTGTTCATCAGGGGTGGAGCCTTTAGCCTTTGCGGTGAGTATCCATGTATGTCCCTTCCTCCATTTCTTCTTGGAGAGGTCACACAGTCCTTCTTCCAGCTGGCTGGGCAAGGGTAGTAGGTAGTGGTAGATCAGGTAGAGTCCATTATAACCTTACAATGTTAGCTTATAATTATCCAAACAATCATTCAAAAAGGTTTTGTTTTATGGCATTAATTAAAATCTCCACAGTAGAGTAACACTTTCCCCATTTCCTACCTGTGGTTTTAATTTCCCTTCATCTGCCTGTCTTATCTCTTCCTGGATTTTAAACTTTATCCTTGGGCAACATATTCCCCTTTCAGTCTTGTATGAGAACTGTTCTGAGGATAATTACTTTCCTGGTATTACTACTCAACTTATACATATGTCTGTTGTTTGGCTAAAGTTAATCCACAGGAGTGAGCTTAGTTCTAAGCTTAAAGGGTTACTGAGGGTCATAGTCTTAGACATTCTACCACTCTCTGTCAGACAGAAAAAAACCAGGTAATTTTTTATGTTGTTGGGTTTTATTCAAGATTTCTCTTCCACTCTTCCTAGGACCCTCTGCTATAATCTCTTTTAGAGTAGTCAACAGCCGTAGCCAGGTGCCATTTAGATCTTCTGGTCTTAGGGTGGTAGAATTTTGTTCATGTGGTCCGTTAATCCTCTTCTCCACCTCAATTCAAAATGTTATTTATTTTCTTTTAAATGAATTTAAATTCTCAATGGATATAGCATTGCGTGGATACTGTGTCTATTAGCCAGAAGGCTACTCTGGAATTTGTCCGGAACCATGTCACAGTTCCCATGGACATGCCTTTCCCCAAGTAACTCACTGTGTGGGGGGTGGAGAGGGGAGGGATGACACAGAAGCCCAGTGGTGGGTGCAGCTTTTCCCAGGGTCACACAGAAAGTCAATAACAGAGCTGTCTAGAGTCTGTTATTGCTATTGTTTTTGCATACCATTGAGTTGGAACCAACCAACTCCCCTTTGGTAAGTCTTTAAGTAAATTGCATGGAAGAAGATTGCCTATCTTTCTCCCATGGAGCAGCTGGATTTGAACTGTGTATCTTTGTGTTGATAGCACAAATCCTTACTACTAAGCCACCAAAGCTCCCTGTCTGGAGTCTAAGTTTCCCTATTCTTCTCATGTGTCCTATCTGGCCCTCTTGCCCTCTTGTGGCCCCTTTGCTCTGCATTGGGCTAGAAGAAAATGAGGTTTGAAAGGAGTATGTGTCAGGCAGCAAAGTCTGAATTTCTCAGAGCGAAGTTGTGGGAAGGATGAGCCTGTATCACCTGGCCTGGGTCAGCTACAGTTTTGGAATCAGCCCTTTGGCAGCTGCCAAGGATGTAATGACAAAGTATCAGGTGGTGAGCCTATATTACCATTGCCCAGGGGACAGAGGAAAGTTTCCAAGGGATCAGCACAGCTGGTTTGAGCTTTTCTCTTTAGAGTCACTGGCTCAGCCATGGGAATGAACCTATACTTTTATGAGGCAGCATGGCATAGTTGATAAGACATGAGGCTCTGGGGTCTGACAGACTCAGTTTCAAATGCAGTGCCACTACTTCCTGACTGTTGTTGTAATGTGCCGTCGAGTTGCTTGCGACTCATAGCGACCCTATGTACAACAGCCCTAAACTCTGCTCTGTCCTGTGCCAATCGCACTGTCTCTGACACTCCTTTCCCAATTACCCCAGTCACTGAATCAATCCACCTCATAGAGGGCCTTCCCCTCCTCCGTTTTCCTTCCACCCTCCCAAGCATGATGTCCTTCTCCAAGGACCGGTCTCTCCTCACAACATGTCCAAAGTATGTTAGACGGAGCCTCAGAATCCTTGCCTCCAAGGAGCCACCCGGTTTAACCCTTTCCAGGACAAATCTGTTTGTTTTCCTAGCAGTCCATGGTATTCTCAATACTCTTCTCCAGCACCACAGCTCAAAGGCATCAATTCTCCTTCTATCCTCCTCGGTCATTGTCCAACTCACTGATACATAGCAAGTGATTGCGAAGACCATGGCCTGTATCAGACGCACCTTAGTCTCCAGAGAGACATCATTGCTCTTCAGTACTTTGGAGAGGTCCCTAACAGCAGACTTTCCCATGGCAATGCGCCTTTGAATTTCCTGGCTGCTGGTGCCAAGACTGTTGACTGTGGAGCCAAGCAAACTAAAGCTGTGTACAATCTCAATCTCTTCACCTTCCATCCTGATGCTGCCAGTTGGTCCAGTGGTGAGAATCTTTGTCTTCTTGACATTGAGCCTCAATCCATATTGTAGGCTGCAGTCCTTGACCCTCTGCAGCAGGTGCTTCAGGTCCTCCTCAGTTTCAGCAAGCAGGGTTGTGTCATCCGCATAACACAGATTGTTGATAAATCGTCCACCAATCTTGACCCCACATTTCTCCTCATAGAGCCCAGCCTCCCAGATAAAAAAAAATCACATAGTCAAGAAGTTATATGCAGAACTTCCTGACCATGTGATTTTTTTTACATTTTTGTGAATATTTTTATCATTCATATACATTACATTTCATGCATGTAGACTATGTGATCTTTGACAGATACCTCCACCTATCTGAGCCTCCACTTCTTTATTTGTTAAATGGAAGTAATAGCCTACTGCCTCAGTTGACGGTAAGGATTCAATGAACCAACGATTATATGTGGGAGTAGCATCTTATTTGAGCAAGATGAAAATTTAACATTGTCAACTTGGATTCCTCTTGTAACAGATGAATAATTGGCTTGCAATTAAGGGAACTGTTGTACAAAAAATATTATGTATCTTAATATTAGAATAATATTCAATGTAGTAGGAAACTCACCCCCAAAAATGGCATCAAGAAACCAAAGATTAAGTAAGAGAACAGATTTCTGTCTTTTCCTGACTTTCATTGTCTCTTGAGCAGGCAGTAAATGGAATGAGACATGGTTGCTCGCACTAGTTCTATTCTTAATCCCTGGCAAGCATCAGCTGAAACGTGGAATCTATTTCTTTAAATATGTATATGATGGGTGTCCACTATAAAGTGATTAGCACAGAGCTGCCATATAAATGATTGAGTTGTGATTGATATTGTTTTTACTTTGAATCTCCCAGCATGGATAGTTGGCAAGCTAAAGCTTGGTAGAGGAAACAAGCTTACTAACTTGTTGTTGCTTCTCGTTATGGTGTTTTTGTGTTTTACAGACAGTTTAACAACATCTGGGGTTAGTTCAGATACAATACCCGTCACAATAGTCTCCAGGCCTAACATCCAAGGAGTTTCATCTACTGCTTTAGCTCTATCCAGCAGTGACAGAGTCAGTGACTCTGGTGCCTCACCTAGTACTTCAACATCTGACTTCCAAAACAATGACATAGCAATG